GGGGTGAGCCTGTATAGAATAATGGAAAACGGTGATGAAGCAGTCCAGAAGACCTTGCAAGGTGGTGGGGGTGCGCGCGCGGTATAAGAGGAGAGAGGGAGGGGAGAGGGGAGAGAGGGGAGAGAGCCTAAGAGTCTATACGGTGGGATGATATGGTGTTTTTTAATTTAAAATATTTTGGGGTGGGAGTGGGTATATATATATATATATATATATATATATATATCATATATCATTATCTAGTTGTTTTATTATAATTATTTATAATAATAATGTAATTCTTCTTCTACTACTACTACTACTCTTCTTCGCCTAGTATGCTACTCCTACTACTACTACTACTACTACTACTACTACTACTACTACTACTACTACTACTACTACTACTACTACTACTACTACTACTACTACTACTACTAATAATAATAATAATAATAATAATAATGATAGTAATAATGATAAGAAGAAGAATAGTAACAAGAACATCCAAACCAGCAACAAAAATTATAAAGAGAGTTATGGAAGAAGAAGTAGAAGAAGAAGAAGAAGAAGAAGAAGAAGAAGAAGAAGAAGAAGAAGAAGAAGAAGAAGAAGAAGAAGAAGAAGAAGAAGAAGAAGAAGAAGAAGAAGAAGAAGAAGAAGAAGAAAAAGAAGAAGAAGAAGAAGAAGAAAAAGAAGAAGAACTGTAATGTTCACAATATCTCTTTAAAAGAGTTCACCTCAGAAGACGTTGACAAACCTGGCTACTCAAAAGAGTCAATTTAAAAAAAATTGTCTTTGATTTGAAACTGCAATTTTTCAATTATCAGTTTTCATAAGACCGCTGTTGACTAATATAGTCATTGACTCTGCACTGTCTGGGAGACAGTTTTCTGTTTTTAATCATTTATCATCTGTTTGTTTTTGTTCCTCCGGTCCTTTCACCGAGACAATGTAATTATCATCGGGAAGGGCAAGTTCATCTAAGTTAGCAGTTAGCAGACATTGCTTAACCAATAATGAGGGTATCAACAATACAGAAATGATACTTTATCTCAAACTTTAACAGTCAAACCTGCCCCGGACAACCACCCAAGGCCGAGGAGAAAAGCTGTCATCTTAGACAGGTCGTGGTTCCCTTTTATAATGTCAACATGATAATATAGAAACAATCCAGGTGTAGAAGTGGTAGTTTATACAAGTGATTGTCTTGGACAGGTGGTCCTTGCAGCAGGTTTGGCAGTAACATAAACCTTCTCAAACAGATATCTGTCCAAGACATGCTTCAGTATCCTGGACAAGCCACCACATACTACTTCCTCATTTTGAAAAGGGGGGGAGGGGGGGGGGGGGGAGAGAGGGGGGGGGAGGTAGAGAGGGAGAGAGAGACGAGGCGGGAGGACAGTTGGTGCTGCACCAGGAAACAAAAACAAAAAACTCAACAAGGAGGTGCGGGGTGTTATTAAATTGTATTTTGGCTTTTTATATATATTTTGGTGGGAGGGGGAGGGGGTATGTTCCAGTCAGGTAGTTATGTGTTTTTCTTGATTCCGAACAAAGTCTCACTCATTCATTTACTGCATCCGATTACTCCACCCACTCCTCCGGAAAGTTACCGGCGAAATGAGGTACTAAATGAAACAAATTTTCCACTTGAGGGGTTGACCTTAAGTAAAAAACTTAAGGCCAACCTATCGAGCAGAGAATTCGTATAGCTTCAGAAACCTAATTCTTGTTGTTATTTCCCTTGATCAGAAACAACAGATATTAATTGAAGGTACAGATCTGTCCATTTAAAATTTCTTCAGTGTTTTAGTTCAGTTAGTTAATGCTGACATGTCGCACAATTCAAGTTGTAATAACCCGGCGTGTTGAAAATGTGTACTCAGAGCCCAAGTTTCCCCACTATGACTGTGTTACTAGAAGTAAATCCAGAAACAAAAACAGTGGAGTCTTCTTTTCAGTGACTGCAAATAAAAATGTCAACAATAACAACCTTATTAGAGTTGAGTGTAGAAACATCGTACAACAAGGAGTTGCGTACTACCGCGCCTGTTGTATAAACGCCCAGTCTTGTAGACATAAGACAATAATGATTAATGACACCATCGTAGACCTGAACATAGACATTTTGTGTATAACAGAAGCTTGGTTACGCAAAGAAAGTGATGAACACGTATTAGTCGCAATATGTCCACCAGGCTATGAGATAAAACCCTTTCCACGCAAGAACAGAGAAGGGTGAGGCATATTTTTCGCTCCACCGCATCACCACCTAAAGCCAAGGAACTGCTAGCAACACCATGCACATTGTTTGAAGCTGCTTCCATAAACTTTGTGACTGATAACAAATATAATCTTACAATTATATGTCTCTATCACCCTCCAAAGAACAAAAAGAATGTTGTGAATTTAGAAACTTTTTACATAGAATTCAACCAACTCGTATGTTGTTTAAGGCAGAGAGGTCAACCATAATTTATGATTTGTGGCGATCTGAACATACACAACGACAACCAAACATATGCAAATACAAGAAAGTTTATGTCTATTATAGATCAACACGATCTTATTAAACATATTTCTCCACGTCCACAAACAGATTTTGGCAACTGAACGAAATAACGTCAACACTCTGATTGAAAGCAACAAGAAACAATTCTATCTTAATTAACACATTTCAAAATGTAAACTCTTGCAAGGAACTTTTTCGATTATCTGATCAATTATTGGGAAGGGAGAATTGTACACGGTTTCCACATGGAAATGATAAAGAACTTTGTTGTAATTTTCTGCACTTTTTCAATTATAAAATTGAAAGAATAATAACTGATTAGGCTCTGATAATACTGCTATGTTAGATGTAAATACAAATAAAGCTGTTGATGAAAATCTTGCAATTATGAACAAATCAACATTGAGTGATATCTGAGAAAGACGTCATTAAGTATATCAAAGAGTCCCCCGCTAAAACATGCGACTTAGACCCAATACCCACTTCATTGTTAGTTACGTGCATAGAAGATCTCGCACCATACGTAACTCGGTTTATTAATATGTCACTCATCACTGGAATCGTACCTGATCTTTTCAAACAAGCCATTGTATAACCTTTACTTTTAAAAAACAAGGTCCTGATGAAAACGACATGAGAAATTTTAGGCCAGTTTCCAATCTTAACTTTTTATCAAAAATCCTGGAGAAAGTCGTTTTGTGTCAAGTTCAACAACATGTAAATACCAATGACATGGAAGAACCTTTTCAATCTGCTTATAAAAGGCACCACAGTACGGAAACCGCTCTTTTAAAGGTATCATCAGATGTTTTAAATGAAATCGATAATAAAAAAGTCTATGCTTTGGTTCTACTTGATTTGTTAGCGGCGTTCGATACCATCGACCTCAAAATTTTACTAGAGAGATTGGAAAAGTCATTTTTACTATCAGGCACTGTTCTAATGTGTTTAATCATATCTAGAAAATAGATTTATCTCAGTGAAAATTGGCAACTATGTGTCAGATAGGTTGGCCTCTAAAGTACGGGGTTCCTCAGGGTTCGGTCCTTGGTCCTGTCATTTTTACAATATACACGCAAAGTCTGTCATCAATAATTTCTTTATTTGTTCTCAATTACCATCTTTATGCAGACGATACACAGTTGTATGGATTCACTACAACTGACAATGTACACAATCTCATAGATAGAATCGCCAGATGTATCAATGATACAAGAAAATGAATGCTCAAGAACAAATTAAAATTAAATGAGTATAAGACCGAAATATTATTTCTTCGTATCAGCCCATGCAATGAAATCGACAATATCAGAATAAACATCAATGGCCACGAAATATCAGCCCAAACCAAAATAAAACATTTAGGTGTAGTGCTAGATCAAGATATGTCAATGAAATCCCATGTATCCAATCTTTGTTAAAAATCTATATCTCCAACTGAAGAAGATAGGGAAATATTTTAAAAGAATTACACTGGCTCCCGGTGAAAGAACGTATCATAATATATAAAATCTGTTTAACTTGCTACAAGTGCTAACATGATTTATCACCAGACTATCTAAAACAGTTTTAATACCCTATGTGCCTCCTAGAACGCCCAGATCATCAAGTGACAAAACAACCCTTGTTACAAATCGTATGGCCAACGCTCTTTTTCATATTTTGCCCCTCTTGTTTGGAATAGGCTTCGAAAAACTATCAGAGAAGCAGAAAATCTAGAAAATTTTAAGAAGAAACAAACAGCATTTCTATTTTCATCATATTTCGATTAGACAGAATCCATCCAAGCTGTAGATCGTTATGAGTTTGTATGTGCGTATGTGCATATGTACGTATGTGTGTATGTGTGTATGTGTGTGTTGTGCGTGCGTGCGTGAACCCTTCACAAATGAAACAAACTATATATATTATATATACATACATATATAATATATATATATATATATATATGTATAATATATATATAGAATATATATAGAATATATATGTATATATTTGTATATATTTATATATATATGAGTATATATATATATATATATATATATATATATATATATATATATATATATATATATATATATATATATGTATATAT